TACTGTGAGGCGGACGTGCTAACCAGTCGCCCACCGTGCCGCCCTACATACCTACATATGTACTTCATATACAATATATATATTTGCAGAGTCAATCCTTTGATACTGACTGAAGCATGTCCCCCATGAGGTTTTCACACACACACACACACACACACACACACACACACACACACACACACACACTTTCACGATGCTCTCCACGAGTGTGTTTTTAGCAGCCCCGCCGCTTTGAACATGAAAGCGACTCGGCCTTTCCGCCCATCTCTTGGCCCGTACCTTTGATAACACGCTGACCGCTGCGCACAGACAAACGCGCGCATTTCCACTTCAAAAAAAAATTCCTCCCCGTTCCCTCGTCCCCGCTCGTGGACTCGCGGCCGCTCTCTTTGCAGACGTTCAAAGACAAACAATTCACATGATTGTGAATGGATCGGCTGTCCACTCTACAACCTTGTTGGATGGTTGTTTGATATGAGTTTGGGGCGCATGCGCGCGCGCGTGTGTGTATGTTGACCTCCATTTTGTAGTAAATTATGTGAGTGATGTGGCACTGGGAATAAGATAGTTGTTGTTTTTAATGCCCACTATTGATTACTCGTCCAATTACGCTTATAGTTTACAACCATTCTTGCAGTGCACCTCTCCAACCTTCAGCTCGTTTTATATGCAACTGATGAACGAAGGAAGTGGCGAGAAAAAAAGAAATAAATAAAACAGAAAAACAAGCGCCTTTTCAATTACTTTGCAATCAAGGGAAAATAAATGGACATTATTTCTTTGAGTGATCGTAAGAAGAAGAACGAACGGACTGCGGTACCTTTCGCGCCGTACGATTTTGGGGGGAGCGGCGTGAATATAACACGAGAGGGCATTTTGGATAAATGGGCTTCATAACAACAGCAAAAAAGATAAGTGGAGAGCGTATTTGGTCGGCCTTTGTGGACGCAACTAATTAGCCTCATCGAGCTGAAGTCAGCGGGAACGCAGGTGGCAAGTGGGCACATAAGATGATGTTTTTATAATGCGCGACGTTCCCGTGAGAAGCGGCGGTGGGTACGAGCGGTGGTGCTTAACGTTACTCCAAATAATGAGGCTTCTTAAAAAGGGCTGCATTCCGCGTACCCGTTGGTGCGATTCAAGATGTATTGTACAGTCATAGCCTCTGATCATCATTGGGTGTCTTCGTTTAATGACCTACTTTCCATTGCACATTGGGGAAAATGATTTGCACTCAATATGTTGGATCTCCTACCGGCATCTGTTTGCTCTGCAGGTGTGCATTTGTGTGTGTGTGTGTGTGTGTGTGTGCGTGTGTGTGAAACATCTTGTAGCGCGACTCTATGTGAAGTATACATATCTGTAAGTTGTTGATGCGCAGAAAAGATGGATGGGGGTGGGAGGGGG